CGCAAGCGCATTCTCTTTATGGGCGAGGCTCCTGTACACTCGTCGTGCAAATATGGTACGCTCCTGTGCGCATTTTAATCGATCTACTGCTAATTCGGATTCAGTATATGATCTATCTCTCTTAGCATCATTACCAAACTCCCTCCTACAGCTACTCCCCAACGATCGCATACCACCACTACGCCCTCGCCCCCTCTTCAACGTCGGCATTCATGATATACCCTACCTTTCCTCATTCGATACATCGCGCAGCATCATAGACCTTGAGACAGATCCAAGTTGGATCGCCTGCTCCACCGACACCGTCTTGACCATGAAGCCCAACCTCTTCGACATTCTGGTCACCCTTCCCGCACCATACTCACAACAAACTGCCGAGCGAGCCTTTCCCATAATCTCCCTCGTCCATAACACAGGCGGCAAACCCAACCAAACTCAACAAATCGAGCTGAAAGCAACCCAGCGCGACGCCCGTCGCTACGCAATGCTCCGCCGCGGACTCCGCCAATTCTCCAACGACCGCCCCACATCCCTAGCACAAGACCCATCAGACACAGACTCAACCTATTCCTCCAGCGCCGTCGTCGAGCCTATCTCCTGGACCCGGCTGGCCTACACCTCCTTCATCTGGTGGGCCTCCGCCGGCGAGAACCGCGACGGCCTCTCGCAGGAAGAGGAAGAACAGCAGATAGAACAAGACTCCCGCCTTCTGGCAAGCGTCGAGAGTCTCTCCCGCCCACCCTACAACTCAACTTCCCACGCCGATCCACCCCGCAACCCCCTCCAGGATGAGCAGCAGCCGCTCGAAGTCGCGCTGGTCGCGTACTTCCGCCGTCTAACGTCACAGATCTTCGTTACGTTGGCTGGCGCCATCGCCCGTTATGATAGCGACCTCGATGACGATGCGTATAACGATGCACCGTATATCGATGAAGATGATGATATCGATGCTTCACTCTCCATGTCTCGCCAGTCTATCAGCGGGGACGAGGGGACCTCGCCTTTGCTCCGGCAGCGGTCGAGTGTGAGCGGGTCTGCGAGTCATGTGTCGAGAGCTGGTCACCGGGACGATGGTTCGCATGACACTGTCACGATTACAGTGGCAGATATGGCGGAGATGGGGCTTGATGTGTGGAGTGCGACGGACCGTGTCTTTGTTGAGGAGCTGGTTTCTTTGTGGTGGGGTCGTGGTGCGAAGGTTGATAGTGCGAGGATTAGATGCTGTGGGATCTCGGTTTTGTAGAGGCTGGTTCTCTGTTTTATCCTTGAGATTCCTTCTGTGAAGATCTTCACGAGAGGATATTGTTTCTTGTCAGGCACATATTATACATTGTAGGTCAATATAAATTTCTCCATATGGTTCATTTGATTCTAGTTTTGAGATATACCATATACAAATAGTTGGCCGGTTATACCTTGTCACGTCTTTTTTGGTACTCTTTTATTGGGTATGCTTTTTAATCTTCTTGAAGGTCTTTTTATATGTCTTTTTTAAGATATTTTCCCTTTGATTAGTGTTGTAGCTAGAGTATAGCTGGTAAAAGGCTTGGGATGTGAAAAACAATGAGAGTATTGCTCATTGTAACAATGAGCTTAAAACCAACAGTCTATTCACAGATAGCAGGGCGCTGATGTCTGTTCTTCCGTCTTTTGCTAGTAGGGGATCGGCATCCTCAAAATCTCGCAACAGTTCAATGATTCCAGCGCGGCCACTAGCATTGGGGATGTTACCAATGGCAGCATGTACCGCCAGAAACTCTGGGTTTGGATCTCTGAAACGGTCGTCATGATTTGTAAGGGTGATGAATGTTTTCGTCGGGTACTTGAGAAGGGATTAGTGAATCGGGAATTTCCTCAATCGATACCGGTTTGGTACTGTCGTTGCCTCAAGAACGAAACGAAATTTGCCGAAGTCTTCATGAAACACAGAGGCCATCATCAGGATATTGTCTTCGCGATTAACATCCCCCAGGTTAAGACGAAAGTGTAAGTTTGGAAAGTATCGGAAATGTTTACCCATACCTCGGACATTCCATCTTGCTCGTCGTCGGTTGCGATCCTCCCGAGGGAGGAAGGATGTAAACTGCTTGCAACGAGTGAATAGGTCGTCCAGGGGGGATGTGGAGTAGTTCCAATATCCCAGAACTTTGTCAACACGCATTGGTAGCTATCACGAGCCAAGCAATATAACCTGTGATTAACCTAAGATTGTGTGAAGAAGACTGCGACCATAAAAAAATAGAATTCTCTTCCAACAACCAAAATCTATGTACAGAGGAAGAAAAATCAGACAGACATAGGAAATGTGAAAAGAGGGACACAGACATTAAAGCCGAAATTGCATCAAAGGAAGGACAGACAGTTGGGGAATTAAATCCGTAGTATACTGAGGCTCATGACATCGGAGCTAAAAGATCCAAACACAAAACAAACAAAACATATTGCTTCCAATCGCCATGCAAATGAAATAAAGACAAATTGATGCAGCGCCGGGGGGTATTAGAGGAAACGACAAGCACCGGCAGACCATGCAAAAGAAAGACATAAATATGCATCATGAGACATACATCCCAGGGGCATTCATTAACGTCGGAACATCCGAACAGGGGCACTCATATCTCGGCGTTCACCAAGTTCATTCTCGGTCCTTGAATCAGCCCGAAGATTGGGGTTGGGAAGGCGTCGAGGTCCCCGAGCAGGGGTCGGGTTGGATCCCGCCGAGGCACGAGCTGCGCGGCCAGGCTCGCTGGCACTGACTGATCGCTGCTTGCTATGGGTACGACCTCGTCGTGCCCTAATCTGCGCGAGGGCCTGTTCGCGGTCGATGGGTGTGTCGGGAATGCCAGGGTGTGAAGTGCGCTGTGACTGTGGCTCTTGTCGGGAAGGAGCTCTCTTTGGGGGGTTGATAGGCTGGCGGTATCCATGGGGATCTCGCTCGACACGTCTCGATGGTCTTGCCTCCACGGACAGCGGTGCACGCGAGTGTTCGGCGACACCATCTGATGGGATGGGTAGAGGCATTCTGGCCCGAGCCGGCTCCCCAGAGGGGGTAAACGAGTCCACCTGTTGGTCGGGTGATGCAGAGGTATCAATATGACCTCTGTGGACATCTGGCTGAGGCTCGGCGAGATCAGGTGTGTCGAAAAAGTCCAACCGCAGAGGTCTGATGTTATCTCGGAGAGGAGAGGGGAATGTCGTGAATGTGCCGGTCTCTGGAGAGAATGTAACCAGGGGCTCGGCTGGCATCTGCATCTTGGGAAGATCCGCGGGTTCGGCCTTCACACTAGCCGCGGGGTGCTGGTGGACAGGAACAGGTGGGGCGGCCAGAGGTGTACGACTTGGCTCGGGTTCTTCCTGGTGGACGCTGTGTTGAGGAGATCTCACCTGAGGGGTGGGGACCTGGTGAACGGGGGATCGGTGGACGGGAGGTGGAGGAGGGGGGAGGGCTGGCTTCGCGGGTGCTAGCTCGGCCAGATGGCGCTTGGTGCACTCTGGCTTGCTGAATCCTGGCTTCTTCAATGCTTGCTTCCTGAGCACGAGCTTTCTCTTCCGCCTCGATCTGGGGCTTTTGGAATTTGTTATAGTAATCAGCATCGTAAATGTAGCGACGGCCTTGGCTCTCAGCAAGCCTGCAGGAGCAGCGTTCGAACTGGCACTCGATGTTGAGGAAATGCACCATATCTTCAGCCGCGACTCTGCGACGACGCTCAAAGACTAGTTCTTCCTTGATCTCCTCCAATAGATCTTCGTCCACTTCAGCAGCCGTCTCAGATTCGGGTTGTTCACTTTCCGTCTTAGGTGCAAAGTCCGACAAACGTGGGCGTTTGGGAGGGGTGGCCTCTGCGTGATCTTCTTCGCGTGCCGGAGCTGGGGATCTAACAGATCCCGCAGCGGCCCGCTTCGGTCTGCGCGGGGTGGTCAAGAACGCGAGGTCGCCCTCTGCAATTGACAGTCTTCCGAAATCTTCTTTCCGAATCTCATGGGCGCGGACTTCCAGAGTGCTCGAGTGGTTGTCTGTTTCGAGGGCACGGAATTTCTCTTTCAGGACTTCAAGTTCCTCCGTAAGACCAGCCAGAGCATAGGCGCGTTCAAATGCCTCCTGTTTGGCCTTATCCTTCGCCTCGCGTTCTGCCCCCACTTCGTCTTTCAGTGCCCTGACCTCTGATTTCGCGTGTTTCAATTCTTCTTGAAGTTTAACCAAGGTTGATCCAGCCCTAAAAGCTTCTTTGCGGGCTTTTCGTATTTCCTTTTCGAAAATTGATCGTTCGTGGGCCTGGCGTTCTTTCGTCCCGTGTAGCTCTTCTAGCAATGACTCGAGGCGTTCGCTGATCCGGCGTTCTCGTGTCTGTGCTTCGGATAAATCTTCTTGTGCGGTGGCTAGAGCGGACTCGGCTTCCTCGCGGCCCAGGATAGCCCGTTGTAGAGCAGCATTGTTTGCTGTAGAGTTGGCAGGACTGCCTCCTCGAGAGAGACCGTTTAAAAATGCCACTTTGGCTTGAACTTCCGAAACACCCCGGGTACTCTTGTGGTGCAGTGTGAGAAGATCGGAAGGTAGTGAGGGAGACGCAGGTATGTTTTGTTGATTCATGCGTTCCGGCGAAACCGGATTCAGCGCTTTTGAGGGGCTGAGGATGGGACGTGTTGGAGACTCCATCGTAGATACTTGACAACTAGTGGATCCAACCGATGAAGATCACAAGGTCAAAGAATCATCACAGGATTGAGGAAGGAGATTCACGAGGGAAAATCACCGTTGTGGAGTTATGGTGGTGACGCACCCACAGAAACATGTTTATTGCCCTCTTTGGAATGATCAGGTGACTGTTGCCCTGGTGACTCGCTGCACCTTCCCAGATATGGTTAGACACTCACGTGCGGTACTCCCCCACATCAGGACTAGCGTCACTTTTGGCTATGTCTGTGCGTCTTTACGCGGGCATTGTCGATATCAAAATTTACTGAGGGGCTACACTGCGAGTTGGTCATTTTCATCCATCAATATGCATGAGATTGTCACACTTCAGCTTGGCCAGCGGGCTAACTATCTAGCAACACACTTTTGGAATCTGCAGGTACTGTCATCTCCCGTCGGATGCGAACTTCTGTCTGATATATAACTAGGAATCATACTTTACATACAACGAGGGAGAACAGTCTGATGTTGATCATGATGTTCATTTTCGGCCGGGTGTTGGAGCAGATGGCTCTGAAACTTACACTCCACGCACAGTAATCTATGATCTGAAGGGCGGATTTGGAACATTGCGCAGATACAATGCACTTTACGAGCTCAGTGAAGACTCCACGGCAGGCCAAGGATTATGGTATGCAGCTCAAATCGATAGACAAAGTTTTCAAACTAATATCTGGCAGGGATGGACGAGAGATAATCCAAAAACAAACTCCAATCCAACAAAGTGAATATCAGAAAAGCTTGGACCTGGGAACTACAGCCCCTCGCCTGACCTCAGAGTCTGTACGCTACTGGTCAGACTACAACAGAGTGTACTATCACCCGAGGTCCATTGTCCAGCTAAATGAATATGACTTAAACTCCCAGACCATGCCCTTTGAGGATTGGAATGTCGGGGAAGAATTATTCAAAGACCTTGATAAGGAGCATGACTTGCTCGACCGTGACCTGAGACTTCTCCTTGAAGAATGTGACCACTTGCGGGCGCTGCAACTATTCTCCGGGTCAGATGACGCCTGGGGTGGATTCGCTGCCCAGTATATGGAAAGACTAAGAGATGAATTCGGGAAGAAAAGTATTTGGGTGTGGGCTATTGAAGACGGCACCAGGAGCCAACGGGTAAGTGACACAGTAGTGCCGTTTTGAAGAATCGTGGGCTCGGTTGGCTAAGTTTCGAACTCTGTATAGCATCACCAGTTCAAGAAGGATACGAACAAGGCTAGGTCACTCTGCTCGATCTCCCCACTGGCCTCGCTCTATTCTCCAATTATCGACGTTCCGCATAATCTGCCCGGCTACCTCAATGTTGATCGCCAATCAGAATGGCAGAAAACAGCCTTGCTGGCCTCGGCTATCGAGACGGTCACACTGCCTTCCCGATTGCGGCCATATCAGCATTTCGAGGCCTCCCTCGCTGGGGAAGATGGCACACACATCATCTTCGAATTGCAATCTTCCATCAATAAAATCAAAGTCAATGACGGCCAGACCAAGGAAGCGTCCAATGAGGATGGGCCAACGAAAGCCGAAATTGAATTTGACATTGACTTCGCCTATGACGGCGAGTACAAACAGGGGGGCTCACATCTTCAATCAAGTCCAAGTAACCCGTGGAGAAGAACCGGAAAGGGACAGTGAGTCCACGGAGGACACAGACGTCGGGTACCTTCGCAAACTTAGACGGTACAATTCAGAGTCGATGCTGCAAAGGTAGGTATCCCCATTTTTCGCATTCACTTTTACTGTCTCAGCCAGGACGCTCACATTCTATACTACCATTATAGTTTCCACACGCCACTTAGCATGCCTATTCTTGACAGTTTCCCGCACGACATGTTCCCCACCCCCGAGACAGGTACTGGAGTAAATGTGTTTACCGCATTGACCGCCTCGACAAGGACAGCTCAGAGGATCAAGGCTATCTCGGCAACGGCCGGACGTTTGGTCTCAGTCGATGAGCGTGAGGCCTTGGTAAATGGGCTTGGCGAGATTCGAGAGTACTACGAGACGGGGTGGAGTAGTGGCTCGGACGATGAGGATGACTAGACTAAGAACATATGCTGATATCATCACCATCTAAAAATGACAGGGTATATAGCCGGTTTCGGGCGGTACTTGCCTCCCATTACGCAGGTCCAATATACGGAGTATGCAATACCACCACTGTGTTACCCCGGAAAACACCTGGAAAAGCTCTGTGGCTTAAGGCCCTGTGTAAAGTATCACCCCGTACTCTGTAGATGGACGGGAAAACAGCCATGTGCACCCAGCCTCCTCAACTCCCTGCAATTTAAAAGGCTGGGGATCTCTTGGATCATATTTCCCCCAAGGCCCCAAGACTTTAGTGTTCAAGACATATATCCTAATTTTAGAAACGTAGGTACTTCCAAGGTTATGGAGTAGAGTATGGAATGGAAGGTTCCTTGGTACATTTGAACCTTGCAATGCCCCCGCATTTTCTGAACGAACGAATCCCTCGATATTCTGGAAGAAGACTAGTATAATTTCAAGAATTCCAAAGGTTTCTTATTGTGTGACTACATAGTATTTTGTAATAGTCCAAGTACATGTACAACGCCTATGCAGTGCCTGTTGTATATTGTGCACTCCGTACTCCGTAGGCTTATTCTAAAAGTCCAACAGCTCATCTACCCCGCTATTATTCCTTTTTCTTGTAAAAACAAGATTGAGCGCGTCATCAGTCCGATTGAAAATTCCAATAGTCTGGACTGGGAGAAGGTTGGAATAGATTGACTTCCCGTCATACGGCCGTGGAAGAATAGGGTAGTCCTAGGGGTTCCGAAATATCCATATTGTATACGTCAGATGTAGGGAACGAATATTGACATTGAAAAAGGGGAAAAGAGAATATCTCAGGGCCAAACCAACAGCAAAAGGGGAGGAAAACAGTGAAAAATAGCAAAATAGCAAAATAAACAAGACGTTGACATCATCACTATGAGGGATCCATAGGGGGTCCATATCACGCCAATTGCGGGGGCCTCGGGAACTTCCCATTTTTTTAGGGAAAAAGGAAAAAAGGAGATCAGGGTCCTCAGGGCTGTCCAGGGCGTGTGCCACAATATCCACTGTCCTGCATTGGCTTAACATCCTTTTGCGAGACTCGCAACTGTTGGAACCCGCGTCACCTGCATTATAGTAGACACTTGCCCAGGGGCAGTTGTGACTGCTCCGTCCTCCGCTCCAACAACATAGTGTACTCACATTTGCCAACGCAGATCCACAGACAACTGATCGGCAATTTTGCAGTCATCGGCCTGGAATAGACCCTGATGACCCAAAGTCTAGACTCTAGACGGGGAATCACCGATATCGGGCCACTGTTCCTTATTGTCTTTTTATGCCTTACCAGAGTTCCAAGGTTTATTCCCACTTACTTTGCTCTAGTCATACTCCGTACAACAGTTCCAATTCTCACTGTCATTCGTGATGTTTCCCCACACTTTTACTTGGACAAATGGGATTGTGGGCCGAACTCAAGAGCTATTCATAGCTCGGTCTCATGACGTGGAGAAGAGACATTTTTCATACCAGACTTCATAGCACTCTGGAAGATCAAGACAAAGGGAAACAGACAACAAACAAAAGGGAGGAAACTTGCAAATCTAGAAGCTGGGCACGTACTTGGTACTGTTATGGAAAATCCCAGAGCTATCTCCCGCATTGCCAAGAACCGACCTGCATCATTAGAGTCAATCGGCCGATCCGCCCATCCACCGGGTTCTGGACACTTTTGACTTTGGACATTCCAACTCAGGTTTTTGGGGTCGACAAACCACACGCCAATATCTGAGACCTGGTCAAGTTATCATTGGCTCAACCCTAGTACCTGGTCGCTAGTCAACTGGGCCCGTGTACATGCGCTAGCTCTCGCCTCTGCATCCAAGTTCCGGTACACCATATACCATCACCAGCCTCTTGGCTGGGAAGATGCGGGTCGACTACTCCGTACTAAGTACTGGTCGTTTATGTCAGTTCCGGTCGGCGTTAGAATATGAGCGCCACTTTTTCTTCTGACTTTCTATTCTGAGTGCCCAATATGGTACTAGTTGGTCCACACTAACCCAATCGCCAACAGAACGGAGCTATCGAGTGAGCCAGCCAAACAGGAATTGGAGCTCTGAGGGGACCTGACTCCGAAGGCACATATAAACCTGCCCTATCTCCCCCAGCCTCGCTCCTAGAAATATTTCAATTGTCTATATTGCTCGTGTAGGAACTCTCTCGCTACGGTTCCTATCGTCCTTCGTTCAAAGGAACATATCGTCAGCCCTAGCTATCAAGTACATACATAACAACCATTCGTTTGCTAGTCAAAATGCGGGGCGCTCCAATCGTTCTGCTCTACGCCGCCACCTTGGCGTCTGGCATGGTCATTACCCCCAGACATGCTGGCGAGGCTCACATTGCTGTCCGCGGTGGTGACGACCATGACGGTGGTGGTACTTGGTGGGGTGGTGATAGTGGTCAAGGCGGCGGTGGTCCCCCAGAAGAGACCACTCCCTGCGAGACTGAGACTCCGCCTGTTGAGACTCCCCCACCTATCGAGACCAACACGCCTACTGTTCCCCCAGTTGTGACGCCCACCTCGACACCTGTTGAAACTCCCCCGCCAGTTGAGACATCCACTCCGTGTGAGACCGACACACCTACTGTTCCCCCGGTTGTGACGCCCACTACGCCCCCAGTCGTGACACCTACGTCCACACCTGTTGAGACTCCACCGCCAGTTGAGACCTCCACTCCGTGCGAGACTGACACACCTACTACGCCCCCGGTTGTCACGCCTACCTCGACACCTGTTGAAACTCCCCCGCCAGTTGAGACCTCCACTCCGTGCGAGACTGACACACCTACTACGCCCCCGGTTGTAACACCTACCTCGACCCCGTGCGAGACTGATACCCCAACTTTGCCTCCAACTCTGCCTCCCTATACGACACCGACCTCAACCCCTCATGTGACTGATACTCCCACTGCTCCTCCTGGGAGTTCGACTCCCTGCGAGACTGATACCCCTACCGCTCCCCCTGCGAGCTCAACTCCATGTGACACTGACACTCCCACTGCTCCTCCTCCTGCGAGCTCAACTCCATGTGAGACCGACACTCCTACTTCGCCTCCTCCTATCAGCACTACGACTGGCCAGACCGAAACTCCCACCACGCCTCCCCCCGCTTCTACCACTCCCTGCGAGACCGACACTCCTACTTCGCCGCCTCCTGCGAGCTCCACCCCCTGCGAGACCGACACTCCTACTTCGCCTCCTCCTGCGAGCTCCACCCCCTGCGAGACCGACACTCCTACTTCGCCTCCTCCTATCAGCACTACGACTGGCCAGACCGAAACTCCCACCACGCCTCCTCCCGCTTCTACCACTCCCTGCGAGACCGACACTCCTACTTCGCCTCCTCCTATCAGCACTACGACTGGCCAGACCGAAACTCCCACCACGCCTCCTCCTGCTTCTACCACTCCCTGCGAGACCGACACTCCTACTTCGCCTCCTCCTATCAGCACTACGACTGGCCAGACCGAAACTCCCACCACGCCTCCTCCCGCTTCTACCACTCCCTGTGAGACTGAGACCCCCACTGGCACTCCTCCTCCGGTTATCATAACTACCACCTACACCACTACTACCTGCCCAAGTAAGTAAAGTTTTGACTGTTCCATCAATTACAATTACTAATAAGACCAGTAACATGGAGCACCGTCACAAGCGGCACGTCAACCTATACCCACCCCGTGACCCAGACCAACACGATCACCGTGACGTCTGTTTCTACCTGCACTGAGGGATGCACTCAGCCCACAGCCCCGCCCGCCAAGAATACGACTCCCCTTCCCCCGGTTGTTTCCACAACTTCTGTCGTGGTGCCTCCCCCGGCTACGGAGCCCACTATCCCGGCTACGGAGCCCACTATCCCGGCTACGGAGCCCACTGCTCCAGCTACTGAGCCCACTGTTCCAGCTACTACTGAGCCCACTGTTCCAGCTACTGAGCCCACTGTTCCAGCTACTACTGAGCCCACTGCTCCAGCCACTGAACCCATTGTTCCAGCTACCGAGCCCACTATCCCGGCTACGGAGCCCACTGCTCCAGCTACTGAGCCCACTGCTCCAGCTACTGAACCCATTGTTCCAGCTACTGAGCCCACTGCTCCGGCTACCGAGCCCACTGCTCCGGCTACCGAGCCCACTGCTCCAGCTACCGAGTCCACTGCTCCAGGTACTCAGCCTACTGCCCCGGCACAGTCGAGCCCTGTTGTTTCTTCCACTTCCGCCCCCCCTGCTTCCTCCTCGCCGGTTTTCAATAGTGCTCCAGCTCTGCAGAAGTCGGCCGCAGCCTTCATCCCTGGCTTGGTTCTGCTGTTTGCCCTGCTCTAATTGATCTACACGGAACTTGATATGTCAGATGAGATATGATATCATTTCTCTTGGCAGTGACTTGCGAGAAACCGGATGATGGTCTCGACGCACATAAAAAACATGAAAAAAACATACCAAAAAATTGTATTTGACAATATCTGTTCTTGAGAAGGATGCGAGGATGATGGTTATTAATGAGTTTCTTGACGACTTGACGCTCCTTATCCATGATTATGGAACCCTAATTCTAGTCATATATTCGTTAGTCTATGAATTGATATTTATTCACATTTACCCACAATTGCCATCATGATTATAAACTTCGGACATTCACACGTCGTCTAGTATACAATTCAGCCCTGTTCGAAATTAGGGCTATGACATAATGCGATAACGATAAGCAGTGCAAACATCAAACATCCGCCGGTGTGTTTGCATGATGACCCGTGTCCTCATCCAACAGCTCTTTTAGGCTTCATGTTAAGTTACTGCCAAGTGGCCACAGTATCCCTTTGCTTTCAAATGGCCTAATTTTGAGTCATTTTTCTGATTTTCTTCCCCTGTTCATCGTCCCCACTACCTATCGCCCAAACCAACAGCCCTCTTGAGCTATCCCATAGCTCCATCCGATCATCCCTCTGGCGCAAAGCTAGCCCGAACCCCGACACTATTCGGCAAACCGGTAGAGTGATTAAATATCTGTCAATCTGTCTGTATATGTGTGAAAAAGGGTACTTTATCCCGATTGAAATTGCAAGCAACTCCCTATATCAGCAATTTGGCTGACTCCCACAGCCCGGAGCCTAAACATAGATCATGGCGTTCTTAAATCGCCGACAATTATCGAGCTCGCCAATGCTATCGCTCGTGGTCCTCCCATTCCTCATATTCCTCCTCAGCTTCGCTGGGCCAGCTTCTGCCGCCGGATCGGCCGTTCTGGGCATCGACATCGGTACTGAATATTTCAAAGCTGCTCTCGTGAAACCCGGCATTCCGCTTGAGATCGTCCTCACTAAAGATTCGAAGCGCAAGGAGTCCGCTGCTGTCGCTTTCAAGCCTACAAGAGAGAGTGATTCGCCTTTTCCCGAACGGTTCTATGGTGGTGATGCGCTCGCCCTCGCGGCTCGGTACCCGGACGACATTTACATCAACTTGAAGACTCTGTTGGGCGTTCCGTTCAATGATGGCAACGAGGAGGCAGTCAAGGCTTATTGGAGCAGGTTCCCCGCGTTGAAATTGGAGTCCGCCCCCGATGGTCGCGGCTCTGTTGCTCTCCGCAGCAACCGGCTGGGAGAGGCGCAGAAGAAGGAAGCCTTTTTGGTTGAGGAGATTCTGGCAATGCAGTTGAAGCAGATCAAGTCCAATGCTGATGCGCTGGCTGGAAAGGGATCCGATGTCCGCGATGTCGTCATTACCTACCCTGTGTTCTACACCGCGGAGGAGAAGCGCAGCCTGGAGTTGGCGGCTGAGCTGGCGGGTCTGAAGATCCAGGCTCTTGTCAGTGATGGTTTGGCTGTCGGTCTGAACTACGCCACCAGCCGTACTTTCCCCAGTGTTTCCGATGGCGAGAAGCCTGAATACCACATCGTATATGACATGGGTGCTGGATCTACGACCGCGAGTGTTTTGCGGTTCCAGAGCCGCAAAGTTAAGGACATTGGCAAATTCAACAAGACTGTCCAGGAAGTTCATGTTGTTGGATCTGGTTGGGATAAGTCACTTGGAGGTGACTCCCTGAATGATCTCATCGTGAACGACATGATCGCCCACTTGGTTGAGGAGAAGAAGCTCAAGGATAAGGTTACTCCGGCTGAAATCAAGGCTCACGGAAAAACTATGTCTAGACTCTGGAAGGATTCGGAGAAGCTCCGACAGGTTCTGAGTGCCAACACCGAGACTTCGACAAGCTTCGAGGGACTGTACGACGAGAGTGTCAACTTCAAGTACAAGTTGAGCCGTGCCGACTTTGAGAAGATGGCTGCTGAGTATGTCGCCCGTATTGGAACACCAGTGCAGCAGGCTTTGACAGCAGCCGGCCTTGAATTGAGCGATGTCGAATCTGTCGTGCTTCACGGTGGAGCAATTCGGACCCCCTTCGTCCAGAAGCAATTGGAGAACTTTGTCGGCTCTGCTAAGAAGATCAGAACCAACGTCAACGCTGATGAGGCGGCTGTGTTTGGTGCTGCCTTCAAGGGAGCTGCTCTGAGCCCTAGTTTCCGTGTTAAGGACATTCGCGCCGGTGATGCCGCTACATACCCCATCTCCTTGAAGTGGAACTCAGACGGCAAGCAACGAAACCAGAAGCTGTTCACCGCCACTTCCCAGGTTGGTCCTGAGAAGCAAGTCACTGTGAAGAACCTGGAGGATTTCGAATTTAGCTTCGCCCAGCATGTTGCCCAGGATGAAGAACAACCTATCCTCAGTGTCCAAACCCAGAACCTCACTGCATCTGTTGCCAAGCTCAAGGATAACTTCGGCTGCACCAATTCAAACATTACTACGAAGTTCACGATCCGCCTCAGCCCCGTGGACGGTCTTCCCGAAGTTGTGGCTGGTACTGTTAGCTGCGAGGTGGAGTCGGAGAAGAAGGGAATTGTTGAAGACGTCAAGGGCTTCTTCGGCCTCGGTAAGAAAGACGAGCAGGAGCCCCTCGGCGAAGATGGCGAGCCTCGTGAATCGATCACCCTCGAGCCCGAGACGGAGTCCTCCACTTCATCCTCCGCCAGTTCCAAGTCCACCACCGCGTCCACCAAGGACGCAAAGAAGGATGCTAAGAAGGACGCAAAGGCCACTCCTCAAGTCAAGCTTGAAGTTATCCCGATCAGCCTAAACTCTGTCGCGCTTGGAACCCCGGCACCATCAGTCGCGGAGCTCGATCGCATCAACGGCCGCCTTCTTGCCTTCGATAATTCGGACCATGATCGCATCCTCCGTGAAGAGGCTCTTAATGAATTGGAATCTTTCATCTACCGTAGTCGAGACCTCGCCGATAACGAGGAGTTCATCAAGGCAGTCAAGCCGGATCAGCTGACTGTTCTCTCCGAGCGAGTTTCCCAGGCCAGCGACTGGCTGTACGAAGAGGGTGACAACGCCAAGACTGCCGATTTCCAGTCGAGGCTCAAGGACCTGAAGGCCATCGTCAACCCTGCACTGAAGCGGATGAAGGAGAGCTCTTCTCGCCCCGCACGCGTGCAGTTGCTCAAGGACATGCTGAAGAACGCCGAATCCATGAAGGAATTGATCAAGAACCAGATCGACAACGACGAGCAGATCTACTCCTCTTCTCTCTCGGCCTCAAGCGCCTCCTCCACCTCCAGCCCCACTGAGACCAGCTCATCGACCCCAGCCCCCGCCGCTTCTGACGAGGGTCTCGATGATCTCGATGAAGACGCATACTCCGCTTCTTCCTCTTCCACCACATCTACCAAGAGTGCTGCTACAGCGAAGCCCACTGGTCCCAAGTACTCCCTCTTCACCCCCGCCGACCTCACGGCCATCACCCAGGCCTACGAGTCCACCAGCCCTTGGCTCGAAACCCAGCTCGGTCTGCAAGAGAAGCTTACCGAGTCTGACGACCCTGCTTTGACCGTTGTGGAGGTTGACTCGCGGCTGCGCGAGTTCGAGCGTATCCTTAACCGCATGTACGAGAGAATGACCGCAAACGCTGGCCAGCAGAAGAAGAGCAGCAGCAGCAGCAGCGGTAAGAAGGCATCTAAAGAAAAGAAGAAGCCCGAAGCCGAGAAGAGCAAGGGTAAGGGCAAGGATCAGCCCAAGGAGAAGGAGGATCTTCCCAAAGATGAGCTGTAAAATAACCACCCCCTTGTTCCTTTTCACTATGCATCTTGCATTTGTTTACATTTTTTTTTCAGTTATGACTCGTATAGAGCATTTCATTTTCATTCTAACGCAACCCATGTATCATGCACACACTACATCCTGGAAGATAGAAAAAAGAATCACAATGGAGTTTGGGCTGAGCGTTAGCAGTTTTATTATCTTTTCCTCTTGTTTTCTTGTACTATTGAAACTTCTATTGAGGGAGTACTTACGCAGCGGTTTAAGTGCCTTGTGAAAAAACCACCTACGCTCTACAAAAACATGGAAGCAAATAAAGTAGGATGAGATTGTCATTGCTAGTCCTACCATCCATCCTACCACCCTATTTTCTATCAAGAGACCACTTCAACGGACTACAAAATGCCAAATGCATTAGTCCGGTCTCGAGAAATCCTTTTTAGATTCCCGCGCCAGCACCGAAGCCACCCCCAAAGCCACCACCGAGGCCTCCGCCGATTGAGCCGCCGCCACCGCCACCGCCGCCCACGGAACCGCCAGCACCACCACCGCCGCCAGCACCACCAGGACCTATCATTATCACCAAATTAGAAACATTCTAGCCAAATAAAGTTCTGGAATGACTATTGACATACCGGTAGGAGCAGCAACAGCGGCCAGAGCCAAACTGAAGAGCGCAATGAGGAAGTTGGACTTCATTGTTTTAGATCGAGCTATTATGACATAAAGAGTTAGTGATCAGCTCAATTGTGGCATGTGATAGATGTGAAGTATTAACGAGGCTCACCGAATGACTTTGCAAGGAAGCTTGGTAAAGATGGATGGTTGATTCCTGTAGAACTGATATCAAGAACAGCGGGCGAATACCTCCATTTTATACCTCGAGGGTCGGCTTCATCTTCCTTTCAGAGTACAAGACCGATCAGCGACACTTCTCAGCTCTGATCGGAGAGTGAGTGGATTTCATCGGTATGTTGCATGAGCAGCGTCCAGTCATTTTCGTTGTCGGAACGTCTGATTTAGAATTCCAGGTTTTCCTAGTTTTGGCGCGTGGTGATTTTGCGAACATCATGGAAATGGGAAGTTAATGCTAGATATTTGAGTGATGCTAGGCATAGAGTTTTGGGAATTACTAAATACCTTCGATTACTATGTGTCGGCTCTTTCAACCTGACAGGTTTGCTACGGTCTTGGTCTCTGGTTTATATTCGACTTTATTTAGCAACCAAGGAGCTTACCAGTCCGGCATTGCTAAGTATATTTCATCTAGACATCCAGTAAGAAACCATATTTGCTTTCAAATTCGTCTAGTTAATTTGCAAAAACCTCGATCCGACCTGAGGTAAGCTTATGCAACTTGTCGTGGGATTCTTGTCAACTATAGACCTTATCCCAATAGTTCGAGACATGAATTGGGCCGGGAAAAGTATGCATACTGACAATGGGCACTTGAAGACGATATTAAAATTCAAGTCTCGGGATATTAGTTATATCGGAAGTGTCCACTTGGGATCATTTTACAATGACTATCAGTAATTTCCTCTCTGGGGAAATCGTTAGCTTTGGCACTTGGGGTTCTTTCTATCTGTGTATTGATGACCAATTGTCACACCGCTGCTGTAACACATTAATTCGATTTGAGGCATTGCAGGTATTGGGAATATCTCAGATTGTATTCACACAGCTGTGTGATTCTAGAAGGAGGCTTGGGGTCAAATAGGAATACCTAATCAGGCAATGCTGAATTGAGATCTATTGATTATTGAATGCGCCAAACATGCAATGAATCAATGAATCAATGAATCAATGAAGTGAATGATGAATTTAGAAGGTGAAGTATAAGTTTTGTCCCAACGCGGTAAGTAGGGCTGACCCACACTTGGCCCTGTCTCGCGCTAAACCCAATCAGTCAGGAAAAGTTCCTGAAGTTCAACCTTCTCCATCCAACCCCACCCATTCCGAACGATTAACACAATATGGAGAAGCCAGATATCGTGGAGTCTCCGCGCAAGCGTCAGAAGACCGAAGATGTGGGCTCAACTGAAGTCGCAGTCGCCGTCAATGGTGCAACTGAGACTCCGAGCACCGCCGTCTCCGATGCGCAGGCTCTGAAGGAAGGCGAGGTCGGTATCACGGAGTTTGTGAGCAACGACACTGAGGGATTTTCGGGTATCCTGAAAAAGAGGTGAGCTCTCCTGTTCCTATAGTTTAGGATTCTACTAATAATCATCCGCAGATACACCGATTTCATGGTCAACGAGATCATGACCACCGGCGAAGTTGTCCACCTCCGAAGCCTCGATACGCCCAGCAAGCCTGCAAAGTCTGAGCCTACTACGACAGAGCCTACCCCCGCTCCAAATGCCCCGGAGGTGAAAACCCAGGCTACGGAGCAAACTCAGAGTACCCCGGCCCAGGATGCGGAAAAGCCCGCTGAGTTCAAGGTTTCGGAAGAGGACCACACTCTTCTGGAGGAATACTTTGGCGATCAGAATGCCGCTGAAATAATTGCGCTCCACAAGATCGCCATGTCTAAGCCAAAGGGCCGACCCAGTGAATTTGGAAACGTCACCGTTGCCGTGTCTGATCGTGACCTTCGTACCAAGATCCACCAGGCCATCCGTCGCATTTTCAACTCTCAGCTAGAGTCTTCAACTGACGCAGATGGAAATATGGCAATTACCGCGGCGAACAACCGTTTCAAGCGCGGTGCGACCGCAGGACGAGCCAATGGTCGAGCCCAGGGCCACCGAACAAACTGGGAAGAACTCGGCGGGCCATACCTGCATTTCACTATCTACAAGGAGAACAAGGACACAATGGAAGTCATCGGCTACATTGCTCGCTCATTGAGGATGAACCCCAAGTCTTTGCAATTCGCCGGAACCAAGGATAGGCGGGGTGTGACCGTGCAGCGTGCCTGTGCTGTGCGCGTTCACGCTGATCGCCTTGCGGAAGTGAACTCGGAACTTCGCAATGCTTACATTGGAGACTTTGTGTACCGCAAGCAAGGTCTGGAGCTTGGAGATTTGCAGGGCAATGAGTTTGTGATTACTCTGCGTGACGTCGAAATTCCCGGCGTGAGCCTGAGTGATCCTCAGGCTGCGATTGCCAAGGCATCCGAGGTCGTCGGTACTTCTTTGAAGAACCTCTACGAGCGCGGATACTTCAACTACTACGGTCTCCAGCGATTTGGAACCTTCGCAACCCGAACGGACATTGTCGGTGTCAAGATGCTTCAGGGGGATTTCAAGGGCGCATGCGATGCTATTCTGCAATATGCTCCTGAATCTCTCCAGGCGGCAATGGAGGGGAAAATGTCTACTGCTAACATCAGCACTGATGACAAGGATCGCGCCATGGCCATTAATATCTTCCAGACCGGCGGTAACGTCAACGAGGCTCTGCAAAAGATTCCGCGCAAGTTCTCTGCTGAAAACAATCTAATCCGCCACCTCGGAAGAAACCGCAAGGATTATTTGGGTGCGCTGCAGTCTATCCCCCGGAACCTGCGGTTGATGTACGTGCACGCATACCAGTCGCTTGTCTGGAACTTTGCTACGAGTGAGCGCTGGCGTCTCTACGGCGACCGAGTGGTAGAAGGCGATCTCGTTATTATTCAAGAGCACCGCGATAAAGAAGCTGCTTCTGTTGTCGAGGCTCCCGAAACTGTCGATGCCGACGGTGAAATCATTGTTGTTCCTCAGGGCGAGGACAGTGCCGTTGCGGCCGACGACATGTTCATGCGGGCACGTGCTCTAACAGCCGAAGAAGCAGCCAGCGGCAAATACACCATCTTTGACCTGGTGCTTCCCCAGCCTGGATATGACATTATCTACCCCGAAAACGAAATGAAGGAATTCTATCGTCGCTTCATGGAAAACGAGCAGGGTGGTGGCCTTGACCCGTCCAACATGCGTCGCAAGTGGAAGGACATCAGCCTTAGCGGCGGATACCGCAAGGTTTTCAGCCGCATGGTTGGAAACAACTACTCTTTCGACGTGAAGCTTTATTCCAAGGATGATGAGCAGTTCGTTAAGACGGAGTTGCAAAAGCTGAAGGCCGAGGATGAGAATGCTGATACCACTATTTCGGATGAGACCGCAGCTGATAAGCTGGCCATTGTTCTGAAATTCCAGTTGGGATCAAGCCAGTACGCCACCATGGCTCTTCGGGAATTGACGCACGGAAAGGCCGCAGCCCACAAGGCTGACTACGGCGGTGGAAGATAATCGGAATAAGGATTAGCGTCAACAGTACGTTTTCACACTGCACATGACCTCGAGGCCTCCAATACTATGACTGGTACTGTGGTTAGGATATCATTCCAGTCATATTCAAGTACATAGTCTGAAATACCCAACTTGTAGCCTATGTATTACAATGAACCCCTCACTGGACTCACTGAACTCACCCAAAACGCCAGTAGACCAAAAGAAAACTACACCAAAGAATATCTGGACCGAGCTTAGCTTCATTATATCATATCACCTTACTGACACTCTCAGACTCCCCGAAACCGGCTCCTCTCCTGCTCGCCTATCGGTGACACCTCATCGAACGACGACACCACAGAAACCTCATCAAAGTCCCTCTCCCTCCTCCGCCCACCCAAATCCGACACTTCAGAAACAGCATCATCATCATCTGACCCACCATTCGCAATCCCAATGCCAACCTCATCATCCGAAAAGTCTTCAAACGGCATCCTGGCCAACCGTGACGGTCCCCTCGACGACGTGACCGACGCAACCCGGTCCCTAAAATCCTGCTCCGTAGCACTCCGCCTCTGATCCATCGGAACAGCAACCGCAACCCCAAGTTCCGCCTCAGAGTCACCAGGTCCACGAGTCATAGACATACGGTGCACAGAGCCCGAGCCAGGACTAGGGTTGGGACTGGGCGTTCGACCCCGACTTTCCGTCGAGGGTGAGATGCTGATAACCGGGATCCGCGGGATGGGCAAGGGCAAAGACGTCGGCGCTGAGGACATTGCCGGGGTTGAGACTGAACGTCTTGGTTCTGGTGTTGAGGATTTCGGTGATATCATTAGCTCTTGCGTTGATACCGCGCTTCGATGGCCTGTTGCTATGTCGTAGGGCGGTGGTAGCACATTGCGTTTCTGTTCGCGGCGTCGTCGGCGGGAGAGGAAGAATAGTAGCGCTAGGATTAGAGCTAGGCCGACTACTGAGACTGGGACTGCTATGGCGATTTTTGTTGCTTTTGATGGGCCCCCGGAGAAAGCGGTTGAGTCGCTGGTCGCTGAGGTTGTTTCTGAGGATGGGGCTGAGATTGTGGTTGTGCTTGTTGTTATTGTTGTTTGGGCGGATGTGAGAGAGGATGAGTTTGAAATTGACGGTGTGGTCCAGGGTGTTGTTGTTGATGATGATAGTGAGGGATAATGTGAGCTGGCTGCATCCACTGGACTCTCACTTGGTGCTGGGTTTGTGGTCACCTCGCTGGCTGAGGGCCATGGAACCGTTTCAGGATGGAAACCTGTCGCTGTCGTTGTTGGATTTACCCAGCCTGACATTTCTGCAAAATTGTTGTATTTTCCGTCAGCTGCCGTCGTGTGCATCGCATCCTGGGCTGCTGATGCCACCGAGGTTGGAGTGGAATCTGGAGTATCTGCGTTTTCCAGTCCAGTGCTCAACATTGCAAATGGCACGAATCCCAAGAGTCTCCCCATAGCAGGCATGGTGGGTTGAAAATGGATTTTTGGGGCACTTTTGTCTTATGTGAAGACCTCAAAGCGAAGACAAAGAACTACCACGAAAGATAGTACAAATTTTAACAAAAGACCCTAGTGCTAGAACTCTCCCATTCAATAACCGATTTAGGCAACTCCCCGATGTCTTTGTCCAAAATAGTTAAATATATGCCCAGGCTTGAGAGTAGAGAAGTTGGAAGGTAACTAGAAATGTGAAATAAAAACGGACATCGCAGAAAATGTATGGACTACAACACACCCAACAGCCCCCGGGTGGGGGTTGAAGCACTGCCCTCAAGATGAGACGCTCTAACAAAGAAGCGCTTCGACATGCAGCACTAGACTCGGCGTCAATGAAAAAAAAAAGTTCGCATTAGTATGATCCCTTTGAACTGATATATTTTCCTAATTTGCAAGTCAAAGAAAATTCCAATCGCACAAATAATTATCAAGACAAAATATTGAAACTTCAAATCCATTAAGGGTCCGAGATGCTCAGGCTATTTTTACGACGTTGGCGCTAAGATGGGGGCCACGTAGGATCAACACGAGCCCTAACTACTTTCCGCTTAGTTCCTTGGGGGAGTTCGTAGGCTGACAGACTTACATTTGTGGGGGAATTTATTATTGGATTGTTCTGCTTTGACGCCGATGCTGACAGGAGTGTAAAAGGAGCCAATAGTAAGTGGACATATTTAACAAGGATTCAGATTTCTACTTTTGGTGCCGTATAATGTACATAAAATTTATGCAAACGAGTGGGATATGGCTCAATCATCAGGCTATATCTAGGCTATAACCTATTCGTACCTAATATTATCCCGAACACATCACTGATATAACTCAACGTCAAGGTTGACAGCAAGGACCACGATAGATACTGCTAGAATTAGATGCAAAGACCAACGCACCTGAATAAAAGGATCCATGGACTGTGATAACAAATGCTACTAACATTAAATGAAATATAGCTAGCTGTAGGGCGTATAGAATAATATTTCTAGCTATGGTGTTTCGATCCATGCTCCTTGTGTACAAGGCTTCATAACTCGCCGACTATTGTTATTTTGAATACCATGATAAATGCTAAAATTGATACACTTTGTATACTTTATATACATGTGTTTCAAAACACTTTAACAATAGCCAGTTATAACATATAATGTATGAGGTAACTATTACGATTGTGATCAGTGGCCCCAGGGTTGTATCCGTGGTGCACCAGAGCCGGTAACCCAATCCACTCCAATCCACTCCAAGCATGCCCAGATCAATGCCCAGATTGCCCAGACTATGAAGATCACGGCTCTTTACACATACTTTAGTGCTGGTAATTTTATTCTTTCGTTCTTCAATCTTGCTCTTTAATCTTTACAGGTTTAAAGACAAACCCTCGAGCATGGCCAATGGTTTCCTCCCATACCACGAACCTGGAAGTATGTACCCAAGCATATCCCAATTGATCTCTGCTCATTTCCTCACTGATCAATTATTGCAGCTGTCGATATCCTTATCATCGTTTCTTTCTTCTTTTTCCTTTCCCTTGCAAGATGGGTCTCCGCCAAGGTAATCCAGGCCGGAATTATAGGTCAAATCGCCGTCGGCATCATCTACGGCCTACCGTTGGCCAATATCCTTCAACATAACTGGCAAGAGACTTTTGTCACTCTGGGATATGTCGGTTTAATTTTGATCATCTTCGAAGGTAAGTGGGAAAAAAAAAAAAAAACGTTTTCGTCTTGGCTGTTCTACCGAGGTCCTTGGCTCCAGAGCTTGCTTGGGTACTGATGTCATCCATTCTAGGCGGTCTTGGCGCTCGTGTAGATCTGCTCAAGCAGAACTTCACTTTGAGTATGGTGGGCGCCGCAACGGGTGTTTTATTCCCTATTGGTCTTTCATACCTTTTGCTCTATCTTGGTTTTGGATATGGTTGGTTTTTCTTGCCCAACCAATTCCTATAATCAAAAGCTAACGTGGACCAGGTGCGGTTGAGACCTTCATCATTGGCGCATCTCTTTCCGCTACTTCACTAGGTAAACTATTTCTTCGCAAGTTCTAGGTTGACTGCGTTTCAATCGCTAATATCCATTAGGGACCACCTTTGCTGTGATCAGCTCTGCGTCTGGCTCCGTCAATCTCGCTGAGACTAGAGTAGGGTCAGTTCTGGTGAGCGCTGCGGTCATCGATGATGTTGTAGGACTTGTTATGTTGAGGTGTGTTACTTATTTGAAATCGGAGTAAGGTTTGTGGTCGATTCATCAAGCTAACAGCCGTATAGTGTGATTGGCGACCTAGGCAAACTTTCAGGGGACGGTGTCAATCTGGGTTGGCTCATTGGGCGTCCTATAGTAGCATCGATAGGCATGGCCATCGTAACGCCCATCGTTACCAAATGGGTGTTTGCACCCTTTTTCCGAAGGTTCATTGAATACCGCTTTGCGCGATTCGACCATATCTCGAACATCATTCTCATGACCCTTGTTCTTTCGGCGTTTATTGCAATCGCTGGCTTTACTGGTACATCCGTTTTATTTGGTGCCTTTCTGGCGGGTGTATTTCTCACATACATACCGAGCAAGCACCCCGAAGGACCATTTGTTGTCATGAGCCGCGAGGAAGGCGAACGCGAGGCGGATAAAAGTCCCACTTTCGTTCACACCTTTGAGAAATACCTGTTAGGACCTCAGCAATACTTGATGGAACCTTTGTTCTTCGCAAGTATCGGATTCGCGATTCCGTTCTTGAAGCTGTGGACCGGGAAACGAATTTGGAGAGGGGTCGTTTACACCCTCTTGATGGCGTTTGCAAAGGTATGCAGATATTCAGAGCCGTTCCTGGGCAAGTGGGCAATTGAGCTAATATATCTACATAGTGTATCGTCGGAATCTGGATCCCCATATGGCAACTCGTTCGCGGGAGTAAATCTCATAAAAGAACGTCAGATGAAGACAGGGAAAGACAGGGAATACAAAAAGACGAGAACAACAACACAAGCCACGAAGCACAAAACGACCATGAGAATGGGAAGAAATGGAACCGGGCCTGGCTCGCCGCAACACTTTTAGGATCTGCCATGGTAGCACGCGGTGAGATTGGGCTTTTGATAATCGAAATCGGCCACAACGAAACTCCATACGTTAGTGATGAGGGTTTGATCACTGGCGTCTGGGCAATCCTTCTGAATACCATCATTGGTCCAGTTACCGTTGGTCTCCTAGTTCGATTCTACGCGCAAGAGATCGAGGGGGGCGAATGGGGGGTGCAGGATAATCCTCTGCCTATCTCGAGTCATGGTGCTGTATAGACATTTTGTGCAAATATTTCATGTCAGGGAGGATATGGATGTACATAGAATGTGTATGCACTAGAGTTGATAAATGCAGTTATACACTGCGTACGGAGTAAATAGAGTAGATAGAGTAGATAGACAGACAAGGTATCAAAGTGGAGATTAAGCTTGTTTCCACAATCCATGGCCCCGGGATGCGTGTGGCTTAGGCAATGAATACGAGTACGGACCCTTGCGGGTCGACCTAATAATAACACTCACAATCAAGCAGAGATTTCCCTTAAAAATGAGGAAAGACATCAAAGACTTTAAATAATTATTCTACTACCCCATATTCAGTCTTTCCATTCTCTCCAAGGCTATTCCATGTGGATATGATCTCCCTTAGCTGCCCAGAGCCCTTGACTTAGTAAGCTTCGGTGGCAACCTTGGAATCGAACCTTGGAAGGCCCCCCGCATTCCAACCTTGGGAAATTTGGCGAGTACCCAAGAAGGGAATTCTGTTGTTCATTTTCCTATCTCAGCGTCTTTCTAAGGCTTATTTTGGTGAGATGGATATGGGGATGGAGGGGAATATTCGTACTTGCGCTGATGGCTCTCATTCCACCCTGTCGCTGCCTCAGCCCCAAGGATATCAGACAACAGAAAAGCGCAGGCTATTACTGATTTATATCCATGGCTTCATGGGATCAGAAGCCAGCTTCCATGACCTTCCCCTGCATGTTCATGATTTGTTAACGGGCTCTTTGGCCGAGTCACACGTGGTGTACACCCGCATGTATCCTAGATACAAGTCTCAAGGTGAGATACAAACAGCTGTGGATCAATTTAGTGCCTGGTATGTGATTGCGACACATAAAGCCCGTTTTTCCTATATTTATAACTAGGTCCATATGCTAATGGAGATACTTGTAGGTTATTGCCACATGAGGCAGATGACCTGGATGTTATCCTGCTGGGACATAGTCTCGGCGGAATCCTAGCTGCAGATGTCGCTCGCTTACAACAAAACGGGCGAGCAAAGCATCGAATTTTGGGAGTAGTGGGATTTGATGTCCCCTTTCTGGGAATCCATCCCCGCGTAATAGCAACGGGAACCATGGGTTTATTGCCTAAGAGAGACCCGGCAGATGAGGAGAATCATGCGGCAGAACAAGAATCTCTAGTCTTGGAAGCAGCCTTCAAACCCGCCCCTTTCAACCCCAACTTTGATCCACCATTTATGAACGATGTCCGTCTGGTTGATCGTGGCTTCCTCGATGGCATTATGCATTTTGTCAACAAAAACACCGACAATCTCTCCCGATCTATATTCGAACGCATAGTATCGCCCTTGACATTTGCTGGCTGTGTCAATAATTATTCTGAACTTCGTCAGCGGTATCGGCACTTGATGGAGTTGGAAGGTGCTGAGTCCAGCCCCTGGAGAGTACGATTTGTCAATTACTATACCGCGAGCACTGGTCGCAAATCGCGAAACGGCAAGACGAAAGCAGAAAGAAAAGCCGAAAAGACTGAAAGGAAAGCTGAAAGGGCTGAAAGGAAAGCCGAGAAGAAAGCTGAAAAGAAGGCCAAAAAGTCTATGAAGAAAAACGACGAGTCTACAAAAAAGGTCGAAATGGATCTGGATGAATACGCAACGAAAATCCACTCGCCCGAATACTCAGATACGTCAAGTGATTCCGAAGAAACGGAAATAACCACTTCCATGAGCAACATGACAATCAAACGAAAGCCCTTGAAGTCTGCTGCTTCTCATTCTTCCCTGGCAACCAAAAATGCCAACGATGACAAGGATAATCTGCCGGTGGACCATGCAAGTACCGCACTATCTACCTCAACCTCAATCGACCGAATAGAGAACCAGTCCCTCTCAGGGATCATTTCCCTCTCAACTGAGAATGGCTCCGTCACAACCACGGACTCCTCAGACCCTAATCAACAACACCTTCGCAAATTCGTCCTCTTGCCGTCACATCATTGGAGACACAACAATAACTCCCATTGGGAGCCGATATTAATGGAGGATATGGACGAAGTCGTAGCACATCAGTCCATGTTTATCCCACAGGGTGCAAACTACGACCACCTTGTCGGAGATAGCGTTGGGCGAATTGAGCAATGGATTGAGAATGATCTTACCAGACGATTTCTCCAAGAAAGTCTTGATTAAAGAGGTTTTTTCTAATTAATCTAGATCCTGGTTTGTCATTTCCAACTATGTACATACATTTATACTTAATAGATTTATCTCTTTCATATGCTCATTCTCCAGCCCTAGAAAGATTACGTTTGCAATCACCAGTATAATATATATATATATATATATATATTTCACTATAAGCTAACCTAAAGTTTCCCATTAGGCAGTCTTAGAAAGCAGTCATCCATTCCGTATACTTTCACTTGACCATATGCCCCGAAGGGCAAAAATACTATCCTTCAAGTTCATTATAACCCCTGTTTTGGGCAGGATTGTACCACCTAGGTACCTATTTACATCCTTGATTGACAATCAAAACTGTACTTTGAAAGGCGTGAATTCAGGAACTTGACTGAATTATCATCTTTGAATATTCAACGATCATATACAGTACCTACTTTGTAAACTATGTAAATCAATTACTAGATCAAGCCCGCACGTGACCGGGTGGGGATATTGTCGTCACCGCTTCCCCAACCCCTTGGCAACTGTCATCCCCGCACTGCAAGTCTGCAGCATAATGAGTGGTTTACGCAATACTATGAAGGGTGGCTGGCACCCTCAAGGCAAGGAAGGTGGAAAGGAGAGCTGGCGTGGCGATTTCAAAGGCATCAACCAAGTGGTAAGCTCACCCCTCGCCTCTCTGGGACTCGCAACTCGGCTGGCCATTGGTGCTAACTTAATACTTGATACTAGGCTGGGTGGATGGGAAAGGGCAAGGAAAGTGAATCCTCTGGCTCTGGCTCTGGCTCCGGACATGGCTCCTCATCACAGGGGGAATCAGGAGCCAAGTGGTAGGCTCACACCTCGTGTCTTCATGACTCGTCTATTGGTATTAACGTTTGCTCGCTTTTAGGCAGGCTGGATGGGAAAGGGCAATGAATCCAACTCCAACCGCTCTGACCATGTCTCACAACCATTGTCGTCCCTCAAAGACCCATCTTCCTTTGGACCCCCTCCCAAACACATCAATTACCATGGAGCAGCCGCGGTGCCAAATCAGACAACCCCCGACCGTCGGGGTTTAGGAGCTCCACTGTCCCAGGAGCAGCTTAACGCCCAAAGTTCCCACCAACAGCAAGTAGCCGAAGCAGAGGAGGAAGAGGTCCCAAAGCCCGCCCCGCCTCCGGTCCCGTATCGCGTCGACACAAGCGGCCTGTCTACAGACCATCTCCCTCCACCACCAGTGCGGCGACTAGACTCAGCAGGTTCCGCCTCAACAAGCTCGATCTCAAAGTCAAAGCCGCCAAAGCCTCCGCCACGACTTCCTGCCCGTAATGGATCCCCTAGCTCCGACCCGCCCCCCGCTTATTCCACCGCACCGGTACTTTCCCACGATTATATCAATCAAGATGCTACTTCCCGCCTAGCAAACGCTGGCATCTCGGTTCCTGGGTTTGGGATTGGCCAGCAGAAATCGACGTCACCTGCACATACGCCTGTCAATGAGCTGCAGTCCCGCTTCTCCCAAATGAATACCTCGGGGTCTCCATCGGCATCCACCCCGCCTGCTCAGGCCTCGACGAACGCGAGCACGTCTTCTCTCCAGAACTTCCGCGAGCGCCATGCAGGCTCGATTGATTCCGGAAAGCAGAAATACGGTGACTTCCGCGAGCGTCATGCAGATACCATCGACTCGGGAAAGCAGAAGTATGGTGATTTCCGCGAGCGTCATGCAGATACCATCGACTCGGGAAAGCAGAAATACGGTGATTTCCGTGAGCGTCACGCGGACTCAATCGATTCAGGCAAACAGAAGTTGAGTGGCTACGCGTCGCGGTTCACTGGCTCTTCTCCAGCAGCGTCTTCTCCAGCAGCGTCTTCTCCAGCAGCGCCTAGTCCCCCGGCCCGGCCCGCGTCGAATACTTCCAGTATGAACTTGGAACCGGCGGAGCCCGCACGGGGCACATCCTCTGTGCAAGATTTCCGTGAACGCCATGCGGACAAGATCGAGATGGGCAAAGAGAAGTGGGGTGGAGTCACATCGCGTTTCAACACATTTGTGGAGGACCGCAAGTTCTCCGCCGATGCCAACAAACGGATCCCACGCCCACCCCCACCTTCTCGGCCTATCTCCATGGGCCAGTCAAACTCTCCAACGGTGTCACCCGCAGATCCCGATCTTCAGACTCAAGCCCAACGCAAGAAGGCCCCCCCCGCCACCTCCGCCCAAGCGAGCTGAATTTCGTGCATCCCCTGTTGACGCTTCGTCACCATCACAGCCGGGACCTCCTCCCATTCCCCATAGCACTAAGCCCCGCTAAGGACTGTAGTTTTAACCGTGTATATGTGTATGTTGCGCATTCTTGGTGTTGATGGGAGTTTTTGCTTTACAATATAAACAGGAGGGAAATCGAACAATTTTGTCATGATGACGACACGTGCAGATCCCCTTTATCCTGTACGATGTATAATAATTCCCAAGGTTGTAGATCAACAAACCCCGTCTACAACATACAAAGTATACCAGTGAGTCTCATGCGTTTCATACAGTAAGGTCCGAGGCTGCATGTGATCCGATTAGGCTGTTTTATATCTGATTGCATATCCTCAACATGTTGGGACGATTATAGTGGTTCAAATATCCCAACAAGCAGGTGATCACGAGTGATCTGAGGTCACCACCTTCCAATCGACCTCGGGAGCTTCCAAGGTTCCAAGCTTTTTATTTTAACTTTCCAATGTCAAACCTTCGCAAGAAATGTTCCAGGGAACTCATAACTTTGTTCGGCTGACTCAGCACTTTTTCCCCAGCCTTTCCTTGGGCTGTACAGGGTACAGGGCTGTGCAGAGCCTGTAAAGTACAACTATGTACTCCGTACAGCTCTGCAGCTGTCCAGATGTTATACAGCCCAACAGAGTACCTTGAACATAACTTTCAATTTGTTTTATTTTTTAAAAAAAAATTTAATTGAAATTAATTATACTAATTGTTGGCAGTGCAATACGCTTATCGGATTCCTGTATGGAATTGAGAGACAGAGTTTCACTATTCCATGTCTATTTTGAGATAGTCCGTACATGTATGGTCAATGGTTTACCCTTCTAGGCAAGTGGCGATATCTAACCTCGGCACGTTTGATGGCCAAGCCTTGGAATTCCCAACAAACTAATCGCGGGCGGATCGAGATCGTCGGTCATTGCCCTTGTTGAGAATTTCAAAGGGCAGTTTATCGGGGAAGGACCCACTGCACTTCAACACTTCAACCGTTTTCTTCTTTTTTTTTTAAACCTCTTTAGAAATCACATATCTTTTTCTCTTATATTCTTTTATATCATCTTTGTCAAGTTGACGCGTTGAATTAAACGCTTTCGCGTGGCAATCACCATGCACGATTTCAATGTGCCCACCAAATTTGGCCAGGCAATTGTTCGCATTGCCTTTCCTCCTGCCTCTCTCCTCACATTCCCTCCTCGCGAGCTTCCAGTGACCATCCCCGCGCCTCACGTTGACTCCCCGACATGGAAACAGCCCTTCAATATCCCGAACGATCTCTACAACCAGGTGCTGGACGTCCGGCTACCAATCACAATCGCTAGTGTCTACGCGATCACTGTGGTCCTTATCAATCGCATCAACAAGAGCCGTGGATATAAACCATATGCGTTCAGCAACACCCGTTTGTTCAAGCTGTTCGTCGTTCTCCACAATGTCTTCCTAGCTGTGTATTCCGCATGGACCTTTGCGGGCATGTTCCTGGCATTCAGGAGCTCTTTCCCGGATAGCGACGACCCTCATGGATTGGTTGGAGTGGTGGACTCGCTGTGCAAGATCAATGGACCCCGCGGTTACGGCAATGCCGCTATCTATAGCCCCATCACTGATGAGTGGTCGATTCCCAATCCCGCCTTCCACCTCACCAATGGCATGCCAGACCCCACGGATGCCGGTCGTCTGTGGAACCAGGGCTTGGCTTACTTCGGCTGGTTCTTCTATCTGTCTAAGTTCTACGAGGTTGTAGATACCATAATTATTTTGGCCAAGGGCAAGAAGAGCTCTACCCTACAGACCTACCACCACGCTGGAGCTATGATGTGCATGTGGGCTGGTATCCGCTACATGGCAGCTCCCATTTGGATCTTCTGCCTGGTTAACTCAGCCATTCACGCTATGATGGTAAGTGGGAACAATCTTGTTGCTTTTGAATTTGTTAAGCGAAGTTACTAACCCTTTTTCCCCTCGCTTTAGTACACCTATTACACCATCACCGCTCTCCGCATTCGCGTCCCTAACGCCATCAAGCGCAGCTTGACCACCATGCAAATCACCCAGTTCGTCTTTGGAACTAACATGGCGGCCGCCTACCTATTCGTCTACTACACTATTCCCTACCCGTCTGGCAGCGCTGCCTTGGAACAGCTGACCAACGCCGCTTCCGTCGCCGCCTCCGCCACCGCCGAGGTTGGTTCGATCTCTTGGTTGAAGAAGCTGGCATTCCGGGCTGCGGGCGCCGAAGGACTTGCCGAGAACGTGGGCACCTCTTTCCACGCTGCCCCTGTCCAGCAATCCGGCTACTCCCAACAAATGGTGACCTGTGCAGACACCACCGGTCAGGCATTCGCCATCTGGCTGAACGTCTGCTACCTTCTTCCCCTCACCTATCTCTTCGCGCGCTTCTTCGTCCGCTCCTACCTGAACCGCAAGGACCCCGGTGTGAAGCAGCCTACGCACATGGAGGCCGCTGAAAAGGCCGGCATGGATGCTCTGAAGAGTCTTAGCCGTGAGATCCGCAAGGCTGCTATTGAGGGCGAGACCAGCGAGGTGACTACCGATGATGAGGTTCTCAAGGCTCAGGTCCGGAAGATCGCCGAGAAGGCCACTCCTGACTCACCCATCCGCACCCGCTCAGCTGCTGCTTCCAAGGCAAAGACTGCCTCGGCCTCAGTCAGCCGGTCGGGGTCCGAAGAGGGCTTCGCCAAGGTTCCCGCCAAGAAGGGAGCTAAGAAGCAAAAGGCCGAGAAAGAGACTCCCTCCAGCCCAAGCACCAAGGGCCAAAACCCATTCGGGGTACTGGATAACAATGCTTAAAATTTGCAACCCTAGAAGTGTTGGCATATTCCTATACCGCATAGATTTGGAGTTTGGGGGTTTAAAAAAAAAAAACTATTTGATGGTCGGCTATGATATTGGATAGCCTTTGTTTTGTGTTCACCGTTCCCCGCAAGCACGGGGACCCTTGCCGGTTCGGCCCTGGCGCATATTCAGGGAAAAGCCTTCTCCCCCGGACTATTTCCCCCTCCTCCCGGACTTGGCTATCCCGTGTCTCAGAGGTTGACCGGAGAGCTGGATTTTGCTTTTACAGCGTTTTTTGTATTCTCAGCCTTTATATTTCTGTATGAGCATATATTATTTTGTACATCTTTATCGCAGACCCGTTTATTGTGTCATAAAAGGAACATCTTTATTACATGTGTCGATGTTCAATATTGTATATTGTATCCCTGTCCTCCTCACATCCGGAGTAATTCCCCCACCCGGAGTATTCCCGTTGGAGGAAAAACCACCGGCCAAGCACCGGAGATTCCACTACTACTAGGATCAAAGCACCATTTCCAAGATGAAAGGGGGAATTAACACCCGCGCCTTGAACCCTGACCAATACCGCATTTACTAAAATAAAGCGGCTCATCGAGAAAACAACTATAAATTAATCATGGCCACACCGGCAATGCTCAGGAGCTTTCGCCAAAGAGCGGCCCACGACCCAAAATGGCGCGCATCTTCAATTTCCTGCTAGTCCTCCTAGCTTGTCTCGGGGCCTCTACAAAAGCAGACGACCAAGCCGTCACGCAATGGCCACTGCATGATAATGGCATAAACACCGTCGTGCAATGGGATCACTACAGCTTCCAAGTAAACGGTCAACGCATCTTCATCTTCTCCGGCGAATTCCACTACTGGCGCATCCCTGTACCGGCACTATGGCGTGATATCCTTGAGAAAATCAAAGCAGCCGGCTTCACAGCCTTCGCATTCTACTCCAGCTGGGCGTACCACGCACCGAACAACGCAACCGTGGACTTCTCAACCGGCCCCCGCGATATCACCCCGATCTTCGAACTCGCCAAGGAATTGGGCTTGTACATCATCGTCCGGCCCGGCCCGTACGTCAATGCCGAAGCCAATGCTGGCGGCTTCCCGTTGTGGCTGACGACGGGTGAGTACGGTACCCTCCGCAATAATGATACCCGCTACACCAATGCATGGACACCGTACTTTACCGAAGTGACGGAGATCACTAGTCGTTACCAGGTGACTGATGGCCATAACTCTATCGTTTATCAGATTGAAAATGAGTACGGGAATCAGTGGCTCGGTGATCCTTCCCTACGTGTGCCGAACGAGACAGCCATTGCTTACATGGATCTGCTTAAGGCTAATGCTCGTAAGAATGGGATTACGCTGCCACTGACCGTAAATGATCCTAATATGGCCACGCACTCATGGGGTAAGGACTGGTCTGATGCGGGTGGGAATGTTGACGTCGCTGGTGTGGACTCGTATCCTTCGGTATGTGACTTTCCATCTCTCCGGTGCGAAAGAAGAGAAAGAGGAATGAAAACTAATTTACCTTGTGTATTAGTGTTGGACCTGTGATATCAGCCAGTGTACCTCCACCAATGGCGCCTACGTCCCCTTCCAGGTCCTGGACTACTACGACTACTTCCAAGAATCCCAGCCCAGCATGCCTGCTTTCATGCCCGAGTTCCAGGGCGGCTCGTACAACCCCTGGGGTGGACCGGAAGGTGGCTGCCCCGGTGATATCGGCGATGACTTTGCCAACCTGTTCTACCGCTGGAACATCGGGCAGCGTGTGACAGCAATGTCCTTGTACATGATGTTTGGTGGTCAAAACCACGGTTCTATGGCTGCACCAGTGACAGCTACCAGTTACGACTACTCGGCGCCAATCTCAGAGGACCGGTCGATCTGGTCGAAATACCATGAGACTAAACTGCTGGCATTATTCACTCGCTCTGCGAAGGATCTGACCGTAACGGAGTTGGTTGGTAATGGAACGCAGTACACTGATAACCCCGCGGTCAGGGCTTACGAGCTCCGGAATCCGGAGACAAATGCTGCGTTCTATGCTACTTTCCACTCCAATACTTCCATCTCGACGAATGAGCCATTCCATTTGAAGGTTAATACCTCGGTGGGTGCTCTAACTATCCCCAAGTATGCCAGCACCATTCGCTTGAATGGACATCAGTCGAAGATCATCGTGACGGACTTCACCTTTGGCTCGAAGACTCTGCTGTACTCCACAGCCGAGGTTTTGACATATACTGTCTTTGATAAGAAGCCCACACTGGTTCTCTGGGTTCCAACAGGCGAGTCTGGCGAGTTCTCCATTAAGGGAGCCAAGAAGGGTTCTATCAAGAAATGCCAGGGATGTTCACGGGTCAAGTTCATTAAAGAACATGGCGGTCTGACGACCTCGTTCACGCAATCCACTGGCACGACTGTTCTGGAATACGATGATGGCGTTAGGGTTATCGTGCTTGATAGAACGTCGGCGTATGATTTCTGGGCTCCTGCACTCACCAATGATCCATTCGTGCCGGAGACAGAGAGTGGTTCGTTCTCTTCATTATTCCTTTCATGCTCAAGATACTAATTATTGCTGCAGTTCTCGTCCAGGGTCCGTATCTCGTCCGTGACGCTAAGCTGTCCGGATCCGAGCTTGCGATAACCGGTGATGTCGTCAACGCAACAACACTAGACGTCTTTGCACCACACGGTGTCAAGTCTGTGACCTGGAATGGAAAGAAAGTTCACACCCACTCGACCGAGTACGGCAGTCTCAAGGGCTCGCTCGATGCCCCGAAATCCATCAAGCTGCCAACTTTCGCTTCATGGAAATCGAAAGACAGTCTGCCAGAGCGGTTTACGGATTACAATGACTCTGGCGTGGCGTGGGTTGGTAAGTTACTCATTATTATATGAACATCACACGAAGGAAAGTAGCTGATCTTCGCAGATGCAAACCATATGACAACACTCAACCCGAGAACCCCAACAAGTCTACCCGTCCTCTACGCTGATCAATACGGCTTCCATAATGGTGTCCGCCTGTGGCGTGGATACTTCAATGGAACAGCGACAGGGGCTTTCATCAATGTCCAAGGAGGATCTGCATTGTAAGTACCACAACCACCACATTAAACTAACATAGTGCTGACGTGCTACTTACAGCGGCTGGTCCGCCTGGCTAAACGGCGAGTTCATTGCCTCCTACCTCGGAAACGCAACCGCATCCCAAGGGAACCTCACCTTGTCCTTCACAAACGCAACCCTGCACACCGACACGCCAAATGTCCTCCTAATCGTCCACGACGACACAGGCCACGACCAAACAACCGGCGCCCTCAACCCACGCGGAATCATGGACGCAAACCTTCTCGGCTCGGACTCGGGCTTCACGCACTGGCGTCTAGCCGGAACCGCAGGCGGGGAGTCAGATTTGGACCCGGTGCGCGGCGTGTACAACGAAGACGGACTATTTGCAGAGCGTGTTGGATGGCATCTACCCGGCTTTGACGACTCAGCCTGGGGAGAGGAGGGATCCACTAAGGATTCGACAAAGTCTGTCCTTAGCTTCGAGGGTGCGACGGTTCGCTTCTTCCGTACTACCATTCCCCTCGATATCCCTGCGCACACTGATGTGTCTATTTCGTTTGTTCTTTCTACGCCGGCTGGTGTGACGACGAAATATCGGGCTCAGTTGTTTGTAAATGGGTACCAGTATGGAAGATATAATCCTTATATTGGAAATCAGGTTGTTTATCCTGTTCCTGTGGGAATTTTGGATTACACCGGGGAGAATACGATTGGTGTGGCAGTTTGGGCGCAGAGTGAAGAGGGGGCTAGTATTGGGATCGACTGGCGGCTTAACTATATTGCTGACAGTTCGTTGGATGTGGCTTCGTTGGATACTAAGGATCTGAGGCCTGGGTGGACTGAGGAGAGGGTAAAATATGCATGAGTTCAATAGTTTGAAAGGTGGCTGTGGTGAAATGCTTTAGATCTACATATCTAACATTCAACGTGTTATATAGTACATATCATGGATATCTTACATAGTAATTGTTATTCTCAACATCCATCTATTACGCATCCTAGTCCAGCAGACATACCATAGTTAGATAGTCATCAAAAACAAGAAGAATACTATGGTCATGAGCCAGATTCCTTCATTATATTCCAAAACATAGAGCCCACCTGGGCAAATCCAAAACTGATCCAATCTTAAATCAAAAAGCGGAAACCCCGACGGCTTCCTTCGCCTGGAACAGCACCCTCAACCTCCTCACCACGATCAAGCTTCTTATTGAGACGCACGAGCATAAATCGAAGCACCGTGGCAGAGACAATAGCAATAAAAGCCGTTGCACAGTTGACGGACATGGCAGGAACTAGGATAGTATCAGTTATTAGTTGATATTGCTAAAAGCAAGACCAGCGGTAGAGTAACACATACTAAATCTTGGAGCCTGAGAATCAGGATACATATAGCTAGCATAGATACTGCTAGCATTGCTGACACAGTTAATAGCAGCCAGAGCAGCGGCACGCTTCGCAGCCGGGCGAGGCAGGGTATTTGAGATCCAGCCGAGGGCGACAACGTAGCCGGAGTAGAAAGACGGTACCATGAGCATCATCGCCACATAGCGGGGTGCAGTAGCTGTGGTAGTAGCAGCAATGATGAATGCCACGACGGAAATGTATAGCGGTGCGGTAACGTGGAAATACCGCTCTCCGGTACGGTCTGCATGCCATGCGTTGCCAAAGGCGCATATAACGGCCAGACAGTAGGGTGGCGCTGTCAGGAGTAGGGTCTCGATGTTGCCGTATTGGAGTGTTTTGACGACTGTCGGGAAGAAGTTGGTAACTGAGGCAGAGGAGACAATACAGAGGATCATGAGCATCAGAACCCAAGTCTTGATGTCTGTAAAGGCGAGCTTAGCTCCGTGCAAGAAGCTCTGTTGTTCGCTGTCGACCCAGTCATCTTCGCCGATATCTTCTTCCAGACGCCACGCGGCCAGCTGCTTCTCTTCCTCTGAAAGCCAACTAGTGGTGCGAGGGAAGTTGGGGAGAACAAAAATTGCGGCAAAGGCAATCACAATAGTGAAAGCACCCTCAATTATGAATAGCCATCGCCAAGCACGCAGTCCTAGCACGTGGTCCATGTTCTTAGTGATGCCTGCTGCGATGAGACCTGAGAAAGCACCCGAGAGCAAAGATCCAGAGTACAGTGCTGCTGTGCGAAACCCCAGCTCCTTGCGGGTGTACCAAACACTCAGGAAGTACAAGCAGCCTGGGAAGTAGGCAGCCTCGACGAAACCCAGGAAGAAGCGGATCACCACGAGACCTGCGTAGCTTTGAGCGGCGGCGGTGGCGGTGGAAATGATACCCCAGAGAATCATAGCAATGGGGAGGTAGAGGGCTGGCTTGCCGAATTTGTTGAGCATCAGGTTGGACGGGATCTGCATCAACAGATATCCAACGAACAGTATACTAACGCAAGTCGCGAACTGGTTGCCCACAAGACCTAGGTCTTCCTCAAGACCTGCTAAACGAGCCGAAGCAATATTGTTCCTATCGAGATAGTTGAGAATGTACATGAGAATTATCATGGGTAATAGCCGTATGTCAATCTTGCGAACAAGAGCTTTCTCGGCTTTCGTGCGTTCTTCGGGTGTCAGATTGGCAACGTAGGCCGGAGCTTCTTTCTGGGGGTTGGGCCTGTCGGCATTGGCGACAATTTCAACATTGTCGATGAGAGATTTGTCTATATCTTCCACTTCAACCTCCGGGTTTCTGGGAGACATCTCTGTTGTTTGCTTTTCTGGTGTGAGAAAGAATGAACTGCTGGGAAGATGGGAGAAGGATTGAAATAAGTAGCAAGACCACACCAGCTGGCTCAATATATGAGAGTCTAAGCCAAAGTCGAAACGAAGATACCAGAGGAAGCAAGGGATATAAGAAAGGAGAGGAAGGAAAAAAGTGCACACGTGGAGAGTGAGACTCGGCGGCACGTCGGGGCGAGTTGCGAATTATGAGTTTGGAATCCTCTGCCCTCCGCAGGGGGGGAGAGATATGTGGCGTTGATGTCTGGTCCGAGAGTAGTAGTACGACATAGGGAGTAATACCCCAAACTTGCCGGTCTATAAATATCATACCAATCAACCTAGAAGCCTATGTTATGGAACGGGACAACCAAATACCCTTCCCTGCATAAAACCTGGGAAAGGGCCGGGGAAATTTCAGACCCCGGACTTATCCCGATCATACCATCCTTTACCGACATTTTGCGGGGAGAAGTGACGGGGGGATATTGCATTTGGGGAAAGATCATCTCCCCCGCGTGGGGTAGGTAGTAAGCTTCTCGTAATTAAGCGTATTTAGGCGCTAACCTAACCATGGTAGCACGGCGTGGGGGTCCACGGGTGAATTCAAAGTCCAGTATGAGTGATTTCTTTTCTGGCATTCAATAAGTAGGAAGTATAGATGTAGTCACTGAGGTTAGGAATGTAGTTATTTTTTGTATCTTTCCCTAGTTCTCCCAGTCAAGTTAGGGCTATATAAACATATCTAAGCGGTGTTATGTATTAACTAGTACTATCCTAGGGATATTCTGGGCAGAATGGTATTCAATATCCTCACTCTACAGATTTCAATAATCAACATCGGGACCCTCGTAGCACATTTACTTTAACCGAACACATGTACACAACTGCAGACATCAAGTCTAGCGTCTATGTTAGTTGAACTATGTCTTCGACCAATGCATTCAGATGTTGAGCCTTGCCATGTTCGAAGGTAGAGAATCCAACATCAACCCTGATTCAGTACTGCATTCGACCCCCACGCCTTCTAATAGAAATATGCTATTTCCGTCATGATATTTATCAATGGCATGGGAACCCAAGATTCCTCTTATTCCCAGGCTCCGATCCCGATATTCTCGGTTTCCCGATCCCTTCATTCCTTTCGGGTCTTTTCTTCGGAATTTCGGACCGAAATGACATTCTAGCCTGAGCAAAGAATGTAGAGATATAGATTGAACAATACGTAACTATGAAGAATGTAATAGGTTATTATCAGAACCCTTGTGGAAAGCCGTAGATTAGCCGATGGCGACTCGACCTCAACTTTCCAACCACAGCCCTTTGAAATAAGAACTTCTTTATTCGAAGATTCCAGGTCAATAGTAACTCGATCCTGAAGGTTGTATCCCATGAAATATCAGGTCACATCAGGCGATGCACCAAGCCGTCAGTTCCGACGGCAAAGGAATCCCAGAACATAATTTCTGAGGATCGATATAAAACTACGTTATAGTAGCTCCCCATAGTTCATCAAATTACTACTCTCTCCTTAACGATTTGTATCATTACCCTGCAATCCTTCGAGCCGAAAATTAAAAGACTTGGCTATTCAACGGCTACCATATACCTTGGATGGCATTTCAATTTTTACTAGTAATTACTACTTGCGAGGTCGTGCTCTTACGGTACCTCCCGTCTTGAACAAAAGCCAACCTTGTTTAGAAATTTTCTGCTCTTCAATATTGTGTGTCTTCCTAGTAGCTACCAGTGGATACTGGAAACATAATGTTCCAACTCACCCGATAACCTGACAGTTAAAAAAATTCGGGACTTTTGAGGTTTTGGTGGTGAAGGACCTAGAACTGATGCTGGATGTACCATTTGTCTATACGGCGAGTCAATGATGTTCAAATATATTCTTGGTCGACTCTTCTACATTCCACTCACCATTTAATGTTATTACAGGCATTGTTTTACCAAGATACCTAGCTAGCAATCTGACGGCGGTCAGAAAATTCTCCGGCGAGTTTCGAAAATATATATTCTAACAGAATTATCACATACAGCTAGCTCTCTTTCAATTACCCCCAGCCAATACGAAGTTCGTCTACTCATACTGGTCAAAAAAAAATCAAGAACAACCTAACTCTACAGCAATAGTAGAAGTACAGTTACGAGGAATAACGGCATAATTGAATCTGTGCAGACAACTAGAACCATCCATTAAACATAGTTTACCCAACACAGCAGCCGAAGAGATACCAAAAATGAGATGTCAAGACAGAATGCAACAAGGCTTAGACATTGGATTCAGAGCTTAGTGAGTGATAAGTATGAAATGGGCCTAGAGATGACCATGAGGAACGATGTGCTAGAAGGACAGGAGAATAGAGAAAAAGGGAAATAAAATGAAAGAACAAAACAGCCCAGTAACCCACGCTCCCAATAATACTCAATGACAATGACTCAGATGCACACAATGCAGAAAAAAAAAGAGAACAGAATTGGAAAGAAAATGACGGCGGAGAATAAGTGACGAGTATGCACCGCCACACCGATTAGATGGTAGGAGGAACATTCATTAGATCGACACCTAAGACAAGATCCTCGAAATGGGAGAGGAATATCATAGGTTTGGGATGAAATAGCGCTAGCCGCGCCTGTGTAGAGACCGAGATTTTGTTTCGAGAAAAGCCGCACCACTTTTGGGGTTGGCGGAACATCCACCAGAAGCACGATTGTATTGGTTAAATCGCCGTGAATAGAGTGTATACCAATCCATAGAATCAATTAAGATCCCTCCGGATAGCACAGCTTTTGTTCATGCGATGAGGAAATTCATCAAACACCTTATTTCGCCGGAATTGATGCATGTCTAGACAAGAACGCAGGCTCAGTGGGTATAATCCTGGCCAGAGATGAGATGACCAGGTTCAAGTCACTGAGCAATGCAAAAGGCTCCCGCCCAAAACTTAAATGAAGTGTGTATAGATCTTGGAATTCTCATGAACTTCCATCTCCTGTACTATTGTCAGTAATGACACAATTAAAGTGTAGAACAATGCAAGCAGCTCACCATCTTAAAGTTATTGATCTCCTCCCGAATCTGCTGAGCAAGCAGCGGGGTGAGACGGTTGCAAGTCGCAATCTCTCCACGTCGATCGTACTCGCCGCTAGGCCATGTTTCATGGAACTGGATGCGAGGACTGAAGACGATATTTCTACCACCAACAGCTGACGGGGTGATGGGTGCACTCTTTGCTTCAGAAGACGAGAAGCGCCCTGCGCTCGAGAGGAAGTAGTCCTCGCCGGCAATCTTCACCGCATCATTTTGTTGGGCTGGGGATCGTGACGACTCATCAGGTGTCGGAGGAGCACTAGAGTGCGGTGAGTCACCGCCGACCGGGCCCTGTCCGGGCGAAGAGACGCCCAAGTCCGAGTGAGTTTCTAGCCAGGTCAGTTAGTTTGCCAAAAACGTCGAGTTTATTTGTGTGGAGATACGCACTCTTCAAGATACCCTTCCGAACGGCCGCCAATATCTCCGCCCGTTCTCGGTCTCCTCCCACGATGCTCTTACGCGATTGGGAGTTCTCCGATGCGACTCTTTCACGGATGGAAGCGGAACGTCTGATCTCCGATGCATTGCCCTCAACCTTGGGGAAGACAGTAGCCCCACGGGGCAGATCTGCAGCGTCAGGGTTGACAGTGACACTCTCCCGTTCCGCCTCCACGTTCACCACGGTGATCTGCGGGGGTGAAGCGTCGGGGCCCGCGCCCTCCATGGAATTGATGCTGGCCACCGATTTGGGACGGAACATGCCAACCAAGGAGCGAGTGGAGCGTTTCATACCCTTGCCCATCTTGCGAAGCATCATCGACGCCGATGAAGCGGTTGACGATACTGACAGGTTATCGGTGGACCCGGAGAAGAAGTGACCTTGATGGGAGTAGATGCTTTCACCTAGTCCGCTCAGTTCCTGCTGCTCAGCAATGGCAGCTTGTTCCGGGCCCAGTTGTTCCCTCAGTGCTTCACGACGCGCTTGTTCAGCGGCAAATGCCTCTCGCTTGGCAGCATTGCTTTGTGCAGATGACTTTAGGAGCTCGGAGGCGCTGCCGAACGAAAAAGCCCGTCTCAAGCGTGATTTCCCGGGGCGCTTCGTTTCATTTTTCAGATCGTTGAGACGCTTCGCGGCAGGGGAATCCAGCGTCGGCATTGTTGGCTTCTTCTGAGTTTCGGCTGGAGGGTTGGGTTTGGGGGCTTCGGGTGCTGTCGATACCGGTTGCGATAATGGTGATGGCTTGCTCGTACGTTTCTCTTCTGCCTTGCCTGTCTTGCTTGTGACGGAGTTCGAGTCCGATGGGGTCCCTTCTCGTGCCTGTGAGAATGACACCGTTAGCTCCGCATTATTCCCGCGAGTCCTTGGGGGTGATCCTACCGAGGAGGCTGATGAGTGTGTGGAATGAACGCTACCAACGCTGTCCCGCTGCGAGTGAGCGGAGGCAGGCCGTTGATTGGTGTCAAATGTGATGAAGTCGTAGGATCCTGATTGAGGTTGAGAGGTAGACGAAGTTGGGAAATCCAGCGATAGGTTTGGGTACGCTGTGGCATCCATATTGCCCAGGCTTCGTCGTCGATATCGTTCAGGCTGGGCCCTATCAACATGAGATGAATCATCCACGCTTGAAACCCGATTGTGAGCGTTTGGTCGCGCTGATCGAGGGCCACCAAAATCATCGACAATTACGGTCGGAATTGGAGAGGCAGTGGCAGGGGATGATGGCGCGGCTTCCGCTCGTTGAGGGGTACGACGATATCGATTCGGGGAGGGTTTCGGGGAGGAAGTGTTCATGATGGATGGGGAGGGAAGGTTGGCCGTAGACAAGGGACGGAGTGGCTGGTCACTCCTGGGTTGCCGTGATGGAAGTGCGCTGTCGTCCTTGGAAACATAGGAACGGGATGAAGTGGAAGAATTGGATACAGAACCAGCTGCAAGATGGGG